CCCCAAAACCCCAAAACCCCAAAACCCCATGTTGGTTCAACTGTATTTAAAGAGTACTCAGATTAAATTTTATTTTAGAGAAATAAAATTCTTAATGGATCACAGATGTTGTTATCATTATAGCGAGGAGCCTGTCCATCACGTGGATAGATACTACTATGATGTGCCTCGTTATGAAGAAAGAATTGTCAGGAAGTAAGTCGATAACTTGATTGCTGACAGAGAACTTTTCCTCAAAGATTGCGAACTTTTAATCTAAGTTTCCCAGATCTTTAACGATTTTATCTAGAGTAAGATATGACTACGAAGGAGCTATTAGAGAAGCTAGCATGGGTAACGAAGAGCTAAGGAAGCTCCTTGCCATGAGAGAAGATGAGATCAAGGTCCTCCAATCAGAAATCCAAACCTTCAGAGCTGACCATGAGAAGAAAGTAAGAGAAGAAGATGACTACGAGAAAAATTTCCGTGATGCCGACCAAAGAATCATTATTCTCACTGAGAAGATCAGAGATGCTCAGATTGATCTCAGAAATATCAGAGGAGGTAGATATGGAGGTGAACTTGAAAGACTTCTAGCCATTAAGAGCAACAAGGAGCGTGAGCATAATGACTTGAAGGCCTATCTTGAAAGACTTCAAAACGAACTCGCCTTAGTTAAAGATGATGGACATAAGTTAAAACTCACCATTGAAGAAAAAGAAACTGCTATTAGAGAGTTTGAAGATGACCACGAAGCTAGAAGACTTGCTGAGAAACAAGAAATAGAGCAACTTGAGGATTCTATTGATGCTAATAGGAAAGAAGCTGAGAAAATTGATGCTAAGATCGGTGAAGAAGACCGTAGAATTAGAGAACTAACAATTGAAAACAGAGAGTATTTGTTATATAGCTTAATTATTTAGCATTGAAATCCTTGAAGAAGAGATTAAGGTTAGAAAAGATGACTCCGATCACCTTAAAAATGATCTTCAGACACTAAGACAAGGTAAGGATATTAATTTCCTCCATTTTATTAAAAATAAAATTTAGAAGTCCTTGAACTAAGAGAGAAATCAGAGCAGATTGAACAAGAGCATGCCCAGAATCAGCATGAAATTAATGAGTATGAAAGTCACAATAAGGCTGTCCACGATAACAATTCTGAGCTGGTCACTGCTATAAACAGACTTGTTAAAGCTGAGGATAATGTCAGACTAGCACCTGATGTATATTCTGCTGAATCTTATCATTATGGAAGAATGAGTCTCAGAGGACTCTTTGATCTTCATCGTACCCATTATCATGATGAAGGAAGGCATAGCTATCATAGAGCTCACTCATATGGAGGAAGACATAGTTATAATAGAGCTCACTCACTTGGAAGAAGACCAATTGTACATCAAGTAGACCAAGTTCCTCACACTAGATATTTATCTTCTGATAGAGTAGTTGAAAGAGACCCTGAAATCGCACAACTTTATAACAGAAGAAGAGTTGATTTAAGAAATAATAGAGTCTATAAAATTTATGAGTCAGGTCACGATACTTGGAACAGACCAACTAGATATGTCATGGACCGTTTCCTTAGAAGACACCATTGCCAAGCTGATGATAGACATGATTTAGGATATAGAGTGTTCTCATATAAAAACCACAACTCTGTCTTCAATCAATTACTCGGATATAGACATGCTTCAGAAGCTCTTCATAGAAGACAAGACTCAGAGATATTTGAGTTGGCTAATAAACAGAGAGAGGAAAGACTTTCTATGAAAGGCGTCTTTAATCAATACTCAAAACATCACTCAGAAGAACAAAGACAACCATCTGGAGCTTCTAGAGTATTCTCTGCTGCAGCTAATGCTGCCAAGAGACAAAGAGAAAGCAACACCAGACAAGATACTCAAACTAAAGTCACAAATGAAGGAGGTAGACGTGTCACCACAACCACGTAAGTATAATAAACCTCAATTTATAGAACTACAAAAGTCACCAAGACTGGCTTTCAGGCCTCAGGATGGTAAAGACTCTAGATAAGTTATTTACTCCAACCTATTCAACAGCCGGACACCTTAACGGGGTTTTGGGGTTTTGGGGTTTTGGGGTTTTGGGGTTTTGGGG